CCTCCTCTGAGATTTTAGCTCCATGACAGCATTTGGCTCACACCTTCCTTATGGCCATTATCATAGACCCATGTTATACTTGAGATGCCTGGGGAGAGGGGAGCTCCAAAATGAATGTAGTCAAATGAACAAATTAACAAGAGTACCACCTTGAAGACCGAGAGGGACAAAGAGGGAATTCCAGGTGGGGGACAGGCCTAGGACAGTGACGACCTACTTCTGCAGGATACAGTGACATGGCTGGCTTGATTGGACCAAAGGTACACGTGGGAGCTAGCATGGATAACACTGGAAGAGAGGGTGAGGTAAATTATGAAGCACCTTTAACACAACTAGACAGTCACTTCTCATAGGCCGTAAGGACCTGTTACATGCTTATTTACTGCTTCATCCATTTTACAAATATTTGAGCACCTACTATGGTGTGAGGCACGATTTTAAGCAACAAACAAGACGGGCAAGATCTTGCTTTTGTGGACCATCGTTCTAGCACGGATGGGGCCCTACAGAGTCAACAGATCATTTCAGTTATTGAGGAGTTCTGATGATCATCAAATCACAACGAGAACCTGTGGAAACTACCTTTGATGGGTTGCTCAGGGAACGCCTCTCTGAAGAAGTGACATTTGAACTAAGAGAGGAATGGGAAGGAACAGTTGGGGGAAGAGTGATCTGGGCGGAAGGAACAGCAAATACCAAGGTCCTGAGACTCAAAAATTGAGATGTGTTCAAGGAACAACAAGGCTAGAGCCTAGTGAGCAAAGGGAGGGGCTGTGGGGAGGCAAGAGGATTATTTTATGATGATAGCATTTCTGCCCTGGGGATTGAAGAGGAAAGAGCAGTAAGTCTCAGCTGCTTTTCTGCAAATGATCTCTTTTCTTCCTTTTTAAAAGATTTTATTTATTTTATTTTATTTTTTATTTATTTAAAAAAAATTTTTTTTTTTAAGATTTTATTTATTTGCGGGAGAGAGAACGAGAGACAGAGAGCATGAGAGGGAGTGAGAGGGAGGGTCAGAGGGAGAAGCAGACTCCCTGCCGAGCAGGGAGCCCGATGTGGGACTCGATCCCGGGACTCCAGGATCATGACCTGAGCTGAAGGCAGTTGCTTAACCAACTGAGCCATCCAGGCGCCCAAGATTTTATTTATTTTAAAGAGGGAGAGCGTGTGCGCACATGTGCAAGCAGGGTGGGTGCAGAGGGAGAGGGAGAAGCCTCAAGCGGACTCCCTGCTGAGCACAGAGCCCAACATGGGGCCCCATCTCAGCGCCCTGAGCCAAAATCAAGTTGGATGCTTAACTGAGCCATTCAGAAGCCCCTCCAATGATCTCTTTTCTAAATTACTTGGAAGGAGTGTGGTGTGGAAAGTCAGGAAAAAGGCAATGAAGTTTGCCCCATTACTAAGCAGGGGGGCACTCAGGTCTCCAGATGTGGTATTCACCTCCATTCTTCCTCAGTACTGAGGAGGCCAAGGTCTGACCCCTCTTGGGTCCGTTAACTTTGCTCAGGAGGAAAGGGCATCAGGTCACAGCCTGATTGCTTCTCCCTTGGCAGCGGGTCTTTTCACTCATGTGCCCTGTGGGATGGGTGACTGGGCGGGTAGACGCCAGCAGGTGTTGTCCCTTCACGAACACACTGGTTTCAAAGACGCCAGTGAGCGTTTCCCGGCACAAGATGCTTGCACTGAGCGCTCCACGGAGAGGCTCCCATTTGCGCTTAGATCACCCAGTGGTGGGACAGAGATACTCCCATTTCACAGATCCAAAAGGTTAAGTAACTTGTTCCAGATCATACAGCAGGAAGTGGCAGGGTAAGACTCAAACCCAGTTTTCCTCTTTAACTTCAGAATTTGTCCATTGGACGTGAATATTCTTGATATTCAAAAAGTTACAGAGAATAACATGTTGAAACCCATGGACGCCATCCACAGCTCAACATATACAACTTGAAGCCCCTGTATGCCTGTGCATTCTACCAAACCATGTGGCCTCCAATTCCTCCTACTTGGGAAACACTGCAAGGGCATCAAATCACCCTCCATTGCATAGTGCCAGCCAGAAATCTAGGAGGTTGAGTGCCACCTTCCTTTTCTTCAATTACCAGGTTCAATTAATTTTGATCCCTATTCCTATTTCCACTATTACTTTTACCTCTCTCCTCTCTACATGTATCCTCTCTTACCTAGAATATTGCAATGGCCTCCTAACTGGTTTCCCTGAATCTCCTCTTCCCCGTTTCCAGTCTAATCTCCACATTATAACCACCAATCTTCTTAAGACCTTTGAGTAGCTGCCTTTAATCTTGTAATATAGACAAAATCATATGCATGGCATGCAAAGTCCCATATGCTCTTTCCCCTACTCAACATTCCAACTTTATCTCAATCCCCTGTTCTCTGTGCTTTGGGGCTACTGGGCCTCTTGCAGTTCCTTATAATCCCTGTGCTCCCTCCCATCACAGGGCCTTTGCACATGCTGTTCCTCCCTTCTCCACCTGAATACCTCTTTCCTTTCTCAGGTAAACTTTCCCTGAGCCCCCTGACTGGGTCACTCTTTGGCATTTGTCACTTTCACAACTTTATATTTGTTTGTGAGATTAATTAATTAAAATCTTTCTTTCCTAATAGGCCAAAGACCAAGAACCACTCACTTAGTACAAAATACATGCTTAATAGATAATAGCCAACGTATATATGGCATATATAACATGCCAGGCAGTGTTCCTAGCACTTCACATGTATTAACTCACTTTAAGATCTCCCAAAAGCCCTATATGAAGTAGGTACAATTCCTAGCCCCATTTTACATGTAAGCAAAGTAAGTCACACAAGCTAAGAAGTGGCACTGCTGGGATATGAATGCAGGCAGTTTCTGGAGTCTGTGTGCTAAACACTTGGGTTACAGCGCCTCACTAGCCTTTGCTGAATGCAGGCTAGTGTTGAGTGCTTTCGAAAGGGACTAGACAGCACCATCAGGAACCTTGGTTCAACTGAAAAAAAAAAAATCATTTCACTTGGGTTTCGGCAAGGATCTTATATTTGACTAGAACTTTGCTGCAAAACATATTCTCTTCCCAGCATTTTATTCCAGGTGCTTTATTTATTTTTTTTTAAAGATTTTATTTATTTGACAGAGAGAGACACAGCGAGAGAGGGAACACAAGCAGGGGGAGTGGGAGAGGGAGGAGCAGGCTTCCCACGGTGCAGGGAGCCCAATGTGGGGCTCGATCCCAGGACCCTGGGACCATGACCTGAGCCGAAGGCAGACGCTTAACGACTGAGCCACCCAGGCGCCCCTTATTCCAGGTACTTTAAAAATCCATTTGCCCTCACTGGTACTATCATGTGGAGCAAACTGCTGGGGGGCAGGAGGAAGTTGGGTTGGAGTGAGGCAGAACTGTGGATCATTTGTAGTATGGGGAGTCCACGTAAGGACAACTCAAAAGCTTTTCATGGATGTCATCTTACTTAATCTTCACTGATTCCAGATAATTTACACACACAGGACAGTGCACCTCCCTTAGGTAACAGGTGAGGCAAAAGGCTGGGGTTAGGAGGGCTGCTAAGCCATAGGAAACCAAGCAGTCATAGGATGGGGTGAGAATGGTCCCCACACTTTAAGCTGCAGAACTGCAAAGACTTCTCTAGCAGAGAAAGACCTCTTCCTCTTTTAAGGATTGAGGGTAGCTAGCCAACCTTTCCTAATTCTTGGGTAGAACCTCTGAGCAAGGACAGAGTCCCTCCTAGGTTTTCCCAGTATGGCTAGAGTAGGGTAATCTGCAAAGCTCAGGCTATATGGTAAAGAGCTCTATAAACTAGCTACATCCAATTAACTCTAAGTCAATATGGTGAAAATGTAGTAATTTAGGAAATTCTTCGCCAGGAGCCCATGTATCAGTCTCAGAGGAAATCAATGTATGCACATTTTCTTCATGTGCATTTTGCTACAGAAAGGCTTTCATTAATTTCTTGCAGGATTTGAGCTAAAAAAGGCTTAGAGAGCTACAATTCTTTATGCCTGCAAACCCATTCCTCCTGGCTCACGAGTGTGCCTTTATAGGGGTACCTTCGCAGGCTGAAAACATTTCTATTCCTTCAAATAGCTGGTAGCGATGGATGGGGGCATCCAAATGCCCACCCCTCCTTAGTTAGGCCTCAAAACTGCATTAGCATTCACCTCCTTGAAGGGGGAAACTGCGTGTAAGGCCAAGGGCAGTCAGGGGAGCTTAAGGCCAGTCCCGGGCAGGCCACTAACCGGCTGTGTAATCTTGGACAAGTTGCATACCCCCTTTGGGCTTCAGTTTCCACACCTGCAAATTGGAAGTTGAACCGCATGGTCTTCAAGGTCCCTCCCAGCTGAGAGCCTGGTACCAAGTAGGCCTGGCCATGAAAGCAGCTTCCTGTGGGCGCGGTGCAAGGCTTTAACGGTCCCCCCTCCCCCGCTAGGGCCCGCGAAACCCTCCTCAACACGCCCCTTAGAGTGACGGCGCTTTCCCAACCGCAGCCCGAACACGGCTCCGCCCCTTCCCGGGGGCGTCCCATCGTGCCCCGCGCCAGGCTCCAGAAGCCGCGGGCGCCTCCCGCCTTTCCGCGGCCCCGACCCCGAACTCCTCTCCCCAGTTCTTCTGGGCGCCCTATCCTATCAACGTCTACTGTCCCAGCCAATCACGCGGGCCCGGAGTCTCGCCTTTGGCCCACCCTCCTCCCAGCGCTCAGCCGGTCTGTGCTCAAGGCCTTTACCAGGCCAATCCAATCAGCGGCCGGCTCTCGCCTGCCCCACCCCAATCGCCCTCCCTCCGACCAATCCGCGCGCCTCATTCCGCTGCCCGCCCAGCCAACCCGGGCCTTGAAACTAGCGGGCGAATGGGCGCAGGGCGGCCCTTCAACGCTGACCGCCTGGCCAATTGGGGATTCCGCGTGGCCACGGCGGCAGCCAATCGACATGGAGCGCGGTGCCGCCGCGGAGAGGTCCGGCCCGAATATCCCTCCGCCTTCCTCCCTCCCTCTCTCTCCCTCCCTGCGAGCCGCCGTTCACTTACCGCCTCCCTTCCTTCTTTCTCCCTCCGCCACCCGAGCACCAGCCGCGCTCTGAGCTACCCCCGGGGTCCCTCCCCCGCCGCCAGAGGAGCAGCTGCTGCCGCCGCCAGCAACAAATTAGGAGGGAGGGAGGAAGGAAGGAAAAGAGGAAGGAAAGGGAGCCGGGGCGACTACCAAGAGGGAGCCGGTGAATGGGCTTGTGGTGACCCCCGCCCCCCCCCCCACCCTCCCTTCCCACCCGACCCCCAACCCCCATCCCCAGTTAGAGCCGCCTCCCAAGAAGCCGGACCGTCGTCTTAGGAGGAGTCCCCGCCACCACCTCCGCCATGGAGCTGATCACCATCCTCGAGAAGACCGTGTCTCCCGGTAGGACGCGGGGGCCGGGGGTCGGGGTGAGGTGACCGGGTGGGGGGAGGGGAAACCCTGGCCCCTCTGACCCTGTCCCCTTCCCACTTTCCTTCTCCCCAGATCGGCTGGAACTGGAAGCGGCGCAGAAGTTCTTGGAGCGTGCGGCCGTGGAAAACCTGGTGCGTGCCACCCCGCCGTCCCCCATCCCGCCGTCCACCCATCTCCTGCGTGCGGGCCTTCCCGCCCTCCCGGAGGCCCAGGCCTCGGGAACCCACCCCGCCCCATCCCGTCCCCCTCCTCCCCCACCCCGGTCCAACCTAACCCCGCCATCGGGAAGCCGGTGGGTGTGTCCCGCCCCGGGCCCCGGCAGCTGGCCAATGGCGCGGCGCGCCGGGGTGACTGCCGCCCAATCGCCGCGCGGCCTGAGGGCGGCGGTGCAGCGGGAGGGAGAAAGAGGGAGGGAAGGGAAGTTAGGTTGCGCGGCGCTGCGTGTTCAGCAAGGGTGGGGGTGGGGGAGCCGGGCCTAGGGGCCATGTGGAAGCTCTGAGCCCAGCTGCCCGCCCTGCTCTGCCCGGGGCCGGCTTCTCCTTCCTGTCCCGTGGCCCCTGTTATTCTCTCCACCTACTTCCCAGAGTCTACCCTTTCCTATGCCCCTTGGTACTGTGCTCATGGCCAGGCCTGGCACCCGAATACCTCCTAACCCACTCCCGGCAATATTTCTCCCTTTACTGCCTGGGTATTCATCTATGGGTTATTTATTTTTTGGTGGGGGTTGGTTGGGGTTTTTTGGCTTTGTTTTGTTTTTACTTCGATGGGTAGAGACTGAATTTGTACCCATACAACAGGCTGAGGCTTCATCCTTGATCGGGCCTGTTCCCAGATGAAATCACAGAGGAAAGTTCCTCGTTTTCATATTTTCATATTTAAGGTGTACAGAAAAAATGGAGAGAAGTCCACTAGACTGGACTTCTGTATAAAAATGTGGGATGGATTGGTTGAAACAGCCTGTGTGCCAGTAACGTTTCTCTTTGATGTCCCTCTTATTGCGGGGGATGGGGAACAGATGGAAGGGTGGATGATACTTGACATCTTTTAAAGGTAATAGGTAATAAGCCTAAATAACATTGTAACCCAACATGTTCCTTTGTAATCCAGGCGAAATACAAGCAAAAAAGTGACAAGGCTTATTTTATACAAACTGCCTTAAGTGGCTTTTATTGTGCTCTTATGTGCTAGCTTTTACTACTTTTTATTCTTAACTTTCCATAGAAAGGATTTCTTTTCTGCTAGTATAGACCAATAATACTTCCATGTGGGGTATATTCCTGTTTCTGCCTCTGCTCATTTACAAGAAGCCTTTTATCCTATTCTTAACATTTTATTTTTCTGACATTCCTAACATTCCTTAGTGGTACATAATTAATAAAACTTTTAAGATTTATCTTCTGCTGTGATTGCAGGACTTGTTTTCTGCTTTTGATTTTTCCTGTTAACTTCCATTTGGACAGACCTTTCTGCAGGGAAGAGGAGTGTATCTTAAAATTTTTAAACAGGGAGTAGTTTTGGGGACCTGTGCATTATGAAAGGTTGAGTAAGGTTTTCAGAAATGCACTATGTTCAGTGGACAGCTCAAGTCCAAAATGTGTAGGAGCCTTAGTGTGTTAACCGTTGACTGTTAAATGTAAAATCTTTTTTCTTGGCAAATTTGCCTTGGCATTTTTATCTTTTCACTTTTTCTGTGTTTCTAAACATAATCAAATTTATAACTAAGTCTTTTTTCATTGTTCTTCTCTCATTGAACACGTAAAGTTAAAACAGAGGACTAGCCTCCTAAATCTGTTTCAGGTTTGTAAGTATTTACCTCTGTAATGCAAGATTACCTGCCTGCATGAGATTAAAAGCCGCCCTGAATATTATTCTTTTTTGGACTAAGATATTTTAAATTTAGGGAAACAATTTTACGTTCTACCCTGTCTTCACATATTCATTCATTTAACAAATATTTATTGTCAGGCATTGTTAAATAGAAGAATCCTCTGACTACTAGATTGTCAAACTTCCTTTATTTCTGGGAGATCTAATGCGAAGATTTGAGCACTAAGAATGATGTTGATAGGAAAATCTGTACCTCCTTGTTAAATAAATGCTGAGGATGCATGAGAAGAGGGTAACTTATTTGTGTACCATGTAACATGTTTATAGGAGTCTTAAAGTAGGTATTGTAGCATATTCCGAGATGTTACGATACGTTCTAAAAAACTTAGGTTTCCCCCAATGTTTTGGTGCTCCGTAAGCTATCCTCAGTTGGTAAAATTCCCAAGAGATACTTTTCATTCACAAATGCCTCTTCTCTTAATAGCCCACGTTCCTTGTGGAACTGTCCAGAGTGCTGGCAAATCCAGGAAACAGTCAGGTTGCCAGAGTCGCAGCTGGTCTACAAATCAAGAACTCTTTGACATCTAAAGATCCAGATATCAAGGCACAATATCAGCAGAGGTGGCTTGCAATTGATGCTAATGCTCGACGGGAAGTCAAGAATTATGTAAGTAACTATCTCCTTTTGGTCATGTTAGCCTCTGGGAATAAGAAACCTCATCGTCCACCCACCCACCCCATCCTCTCCTCCTGGACCCCCTACAAGAGACATCTTGGTCAGTGTTTTTGTCATTTACATGGGATAGAGCTGACAGTGTAATAGGTTTCTGAGACTTAAGCTTCACTTGAAGATAAAAATTGTATTTGATTTAAATTTTCTTTCTCATCTTAGCTTTTCTGTACTGTGCTGTCATTTCCCATTAATGAATGCATCAGAAACCTAAGGTAAACTGTAGCAGTTTAGGGAACTTTAACTGGATGCCAGAATTTGTAGAATCTGTGGTGAATTGGCATAGTATACAAATTGTTGTTTCCCAAACTTGAACTCTGAGAATCACTTAGGGAATTTGCTACAATAATATATTTCCAGGTTCCCTCCAGAGATTCTGTTTTGTTGGAGTGAGGCTCAGGAATATTTTTTAGATATTCCTGTCTTTCTAAGTGATTTTTTTCATAGTCATCCAGTCCCTGCTCTTGTTGAACTTGTGTTGTAGATAATTTTCACTCTTTGGTGGTTTAGGCTTGGCACTATGTGGAGTTCAAAGGGGAACTAAATAATCTCTTGGGACTTTTAAGCCCAAAGAGTGTGTGAAATAAGAATATGAAGTTAATGGTGCTTTTATCTATTTAGCAAATTATGAAAAACTTTGTTTAGAAACATCTGGCTCTTAATCAGGGCATTTAAAGAGTGGACTGATGAGTTTTGCGGAAAATTAAATGTCCCTTGCTCTGCATCATGGAGGTCTTACGACTTTGTTGTTGAGTTAAAATCCGTAATTCTAGCCGCAGCAAAAGATACTCAGAATATATGGACAGGTGTCCTCCCCACCCCCCAGTTAATGAGCTTCTTTAGTGGTTTGTTTTATGTGGATGAGGCACAGAAAATGGTAAGTCAAGCAATTAGTCCTTGGTATTTGAGGGAAAATTGGTGGGGGGTTCCTAAATGCGTACTTGCACATGTCATCATATTTGCTGTTTCCTGGTTCGAGGTCTCAGCGTTAGGTAAATTTGTGCGCCTTAAGGGCAACAACATCTCTTTCAAGTTATATACCCCTTCTCTTTCTAGTCTTTCATGAAAGTACTCATGACTGTGGGAACTAGGTTATGAAAGCCAACTTATTTTGAATCTTCTTTGGAATATGTAGAGCTATTTCTGTCCACATTGGGTCTGCTTATGTAATAACATTTTAATCTTTCTTTCAGTAATTTCGTACAATTGAAGTTTATTCCATCAATCACTGGAAATCTTGGTGCTTGTAGTGCCCATTCAGTTTCTCATCTTGCTCGAATCATGCGATAGTAAATGAGATGAGAAATGATTGGAACTGTGATTGACTCTTTTTGGCATGTCAGTCTTAACACTTTGTAAAATTTGGACAAGACTTTGTGTATGTGTTGTTGAACTCTTCTGCATGAAAGAAAGTTAATCATGGCCTTTTCCCCCTTTTCATAGCACCTCTGGTAATGAATACTTTCTCAGTGTTGATGGGTATTTCTTTTTTGAAATGTGGGTCTTGGACACAGAGGGTCACTCCTTTATTCCTCTTCTTTCTGATAATTGACTATTATCATTAGGGTTACCCCCTAGGTTAAAAAAACAAAACAAAAACAATCTTCCTGTACTTAAGAGTTGTACCTTTGTGGTCTCCAAATCACCTCGAATAGTATTTAACTAGGGGTCTTCCAGAAGCCATTTAAAGGAAGAAAGATAAAGGTACAGTGGGAGTCGGTGCTCTCCACATCTGTACCAGGAGATGGTGTGGTATAGTGTAAAGGCACCCTGAACTGGAACTCTTCATCAGACTTGGGTTAATACCTGTTCAGCTCCTGCTGTTTTATTTTTTTATTATTTTTTTTTATTTGACAGAGACAGCGAGAGAGGGAACACAAGCAGGGGGAGTGGGAGAAGGAGAAGCAGGTTTCCGCTGAGCAGGGAGCCCAATGGAGGGCTCGATCCCAGGACCCTGGGACCATGACCTGAACCGAAGGCAGACGCTTAACGGCTGAGCCACCCAGGTGCCCCAAGCTCCTGCTGTTTTAGACCGGTCATCTTATCCCTGCCTCTCGGCTCCGTGTCTTTGACATACAGTTTTTCTTAAAGTCCATTCTAGCTGTGATAGCCCTAGAGAGCAAAACCTTCATTTAGAATCAGAACAGTTTGTTACTGGGCAGAGCTTTGGCAGTGGGGGCGGGCAGGGATGATGATCTACAGTATGGGGGAAAGATGGGGAGTTCATTATTATTAGCTACAAAGCAGGATACTAAGTGACCTGACCCAGTCAGCAGAGCTGGCCTGAATATCTGGCAGCTACGCTTTGTCCTGTGTTCATGCCAGGAACAGTTAACTATTTGCCTTTTGAGTGGACTGGTGATTCTTAGTGAGTTCATTGACTGAATTAGCTGATCATGGTAATAATTAACCTTAGGTCAATTGTGACTTCATCCTTTATCTGTACCTGTGCCTTTACCCTTTACATAAATCCTTGTACGATTATCATTTCAAACAAGACCTGTTTAACGATAAGCGAATCTCATTTTAATTGGCATATCTAACTAGTTCTTGGTATCTGTTGATGGTGGAGAGAAGAGTTCTCTGATTATTGGGTAAACAGAACAAATCCTTCCAGATTGGAAGTTAAGTAAAGATTCATTCTTAGGTGTTGGTAACGTCATTAACTTTGTATCTGCATCTAGTGATGTTCCCTGACCAAGGCCTTTTATGAAAGTCACCCCAGGTGTTAAATTGTCATTGACCATAGGGAAGGAGGTTTGTTCCACATTTCATGAGTTGGAAGATCTCTTCCTTGGATTAGGCTAGACCACGATCTACTGTGAATCAGACCCATTTGAATGCCCAGAGTTAGCCTCATTCTAAAGTTCCACACTTTCTGTCCATAAAACAAGGCTGTGAGCATCCTTCCATTGTACCTTTAACAAGGAGCCTAGAAGGTGAATTTTGTCCTCTCCTTTGCCTTCTAACATTGTCATCCTTCTGACTCTCACTTTCTTACCTTGCATTGAACATTGACGTGAGATGTTTGGCTTTGGAGGAGTCCTTTTGGAAGTAGGGAGTAATTGGTTTCGTTTTCCAGGCTCTGGAACAATGTTGATTGTACTGGTGTTGGTAGTGAGGCTGGTTGTTTTGTTTTTGTTTTGACAGCTGACTATTCTGTATATGCCTTTTTCTACTTTTGTGTGTTGCAGAAAATTCAGAGTGATGTAAGAGGTGTGGTGGTAGGCAAAATGTGTTCAAATAGCATTAGAAATTGATATCTTTCGTCTTGTTTTGTGTGTGTGTGTGTGTGTGTGCGCACAGGTTTTGCAGACTTTGGGCACAGAAACTTACCGGCCTAGTTCTGCCTCACAGTGTGTGGCTGGTATTGCTTGTGCAGAGATCCCAGTGAACCAGTGGCCAGAACTCATTCCTCAGCTGGTGGCCAATGTCACAAACCCCAACAGCACAGAGCACATGAAAGAGTCAACATTGGAAGCTATCGGTTACATTTGCCAAGATATAGTAAGTACTGCCCTCTGTATCTAACTTAACATAGCTCTGATTCCCTCTAGTTGTGACATGCGTAGTATTAGGATTGTTCTTACCTGATGGAGAAAACTAAGCTACTACAGAGTGTTTTGCAAGTAGGACTGCTTTATTTAATCTAGACTTCCATATTTGGATAGCTAACTTATCCTCACATTGCTAATCATGCACTAAAGTAAAGAGAGTTGAGGATCCCAAGCTCAGAGTAGAAATCTGTAGGCTTGGAGAGGTATAGATTCTAGACTTTTAAAAGAGGATATGCTCTGTTGTGGAGCATCCCTGATCTGGATCCCTTTCTCACAATCCTCAGTGTACCTCAGGATGCTGTGTTACTTTCATTTACTCGTGCACAGAAACCCTTTGCCAGCCCTTGCAGCAGTTGGCTTAGCCACCAGAGACACAGTAGTGTGTGAAATGCAGCCCTCCTGGGACTGTGGCTGCTGCTGAGGTTACCACCCTTGGTGTCTGTTTCCATATACAGACTTTTGATGAAGCAAGGAAGTCCACACTTGACCTGGACTTAGACTATCTAGATGTTGTGCCCAGGCATTGATCCTTGGCCCTCAGAAGCTTTACTTCAGTTGATACAGATGGCCTGGAAAAAACACCAGACTGCCATTTCCCTTTGCACAGAAGGGGGAAGAAAAAGCCAGCATTACCTCATGCCCAGAGTCATTATGCTAAGAAATCAGATGAAGTTGATGAATTTAACTTGTTTCGGTTCAATTTTGGACTAGTAGGCCCCGGGATATTTTGCAGGTGGTTTGTCCCTAAATGGAAATGTGTGGAAAAAGATCAGAGAAAGTCATGATACTCACTCGAGTGGATTTCACAGTTAAAAGGACTGCTGATTAGTCATGAGCTCATTATTTTACTCACTGCACTTCTCTGCTTGTTTCAGGACCCAGAGCAGCTACAGGATAAATCCAATGAGATTCTGACTGCCATAATCCAGGGGATGAGGAAAGAAGAGCCCAGTAATAATGTGAAGCTGGCGGCTACAAATGCACTCCTGAACTCACTGGAGTTCACCAAAGCAAACTTTGACAAAGAGGTGAGTCTCTTTTGACAAAAAGGTGTAGTAGGTTCAGAAGGTAAGAAGTAAGAGTTAAATGAAAGGTTTTTTTTAAGTTTGTGGTCTAGAAAGTACCATCTTGTTTAGGTGCACTCATTTCCATTCTAGTTAAGATTTGTGTTGTGTGAGAAATGGCCATGGAGTAGGTGTGTTTGCTTTTGGGAGGCTTTTGGGGAAAATGTGATCTGAAGTGTTTCTAAGCTTAGGTTTCTCCTTTTATAGAGCAAAGTGTGGGTATGCTCTGGGATTTTAAAAAACATGGAAGTTGGGGCACCCGACTGGGTGGCTCAGTCATTTGAGCCTCTGACTCTTGGTTTCCGCTCAGGTCATGATCTCAGGGTCCTGAGATCGAGCCCCACGGCTGGCTCCGTGCTTAGCAGTGAGTGTACTGGAGATTCTCTCCCTCTGTCCCTCTCCCCACTCGTGCACCCACATGTTCTCTCAAATAAAATCTTAAAAAACACAGAAAGTTGTAGAGCTTACTTTAAAAAAACTAAACTGGCGGCTGGCTGGCTCAGTCGGTGGCGCACCTGATTCTTGATCCTCGGGGTCTTGAAGTTGAGCCCCTTGTTGGGCATAGCGTTTAAATTAAAAAAAATTATGTAAGTTGGGCTAGTTCATAACTCCTTGGAAGGTGCTTTTGAAAATGAATATGTAAACAAAGTTTATCTTGCCTGGAAATATTTCCCCCTATTATTTAAGTTGTGTAAAAATACACAATAACGTAAAATTTACCATTTTAAGCTTTTTTAAGTGTACAGTTCAATAGTGTTAAGTTACAGTCATGTTGTTTTACAGCCAGTCACCAGAACTTTTTCATTTTGCAAAACTGAAACTCTGTGCATTGAACAACTCCCCATTTTCCCCTTCCCAGTGGCAACTGCTTTTTTTACTTTCTGTTTCTATGCTTTTGATTACACCAGATACCTTATTTAAGTGGAATCAGTCATACAGTATTTGATTTGTCTTTTATGACTCGCTTATTTCATTTAGCATAATGTCTTGGGTTCATACATGTTGTAGCCTGTGTAGCCTTTTTCAGGCTGAATAATATTTTGTTGTATGTATAGACCACATTTTATTTATCCATTTTTTTGTCTGTGGACTTTGGGGTTGCTTCCTTTCATCTTCTAACTATTGTGAATAACGCTGCTATGAACATAGGTGTACAAATAGGTCTTTGAGGCCCGCTTTCAGTTCTTTTAGATCTATACTCAGAAGCGGAATCACTGGATTATATGGTCTGCAAGTATTTTTGTGTATTTGTTTGTTGACACTTGAGCTGTGCTTTTTGCCATGTCTTGGTCTCACTGTGGACAAAGTAGGGAGGTCTAAGAAGTCAAAGCAAATTGCAATTCTAATTGCTTAGAAAACAGACTTTTTCCTTTTAGATTTCAGAAGACTTAGGATAGTAGCAAATAACTACATTGCTCTGTTCTCCTGTATCTTCCCGCGTTTGATGGGGGATTTGCCACCTCCCAGAAAACAAATTTGTCTTTGAAGTAAATTTAAATATAAAGAAATGGGTTTTCCTAATGTAGGTTTTTTGTTTGTTTGTTTACCATTTTTATTTAAATCCCTGTGACCTACATTTTCCTATTTACTTCCTTCTTGGAGTCTTGTTAGTGGTCATTTTGGGGATTAAAAGATGAGGGAGCTCTTTAGAGGGCAGGTCATACAGCAGACACTGGGGGCAAGCTCTTGATAGTCTTCATGGTGCCATTACTGTGTCGGGGGAAAGCTGCTTGATTGCTTCAGGGTTATGGGGTCCCTGAGGGGAGTGCAAGGTTTTCCCTGAAGAGATAGTCTAACAATCTCCATATATATGGTTGGTAGTCTTATTCTCTTGATCTTTGTTCTTCCTACAGTCCGAAAGGCACTTTATTATGCAGGTGGTCTGTGAAGCCACACAGTGTCCGGATACAAGGGTGAGTGTGAGCTCCGATGAGAAATCTGTCTTCCATCTTTCCTGGGAAATGCCATCTCCAGCATAGTGGTTTGAAATGTTGGGAATCGGGTAACTTCAGAAATAAGGTTTGGCTACTACCGTTCTTAATAAAAGAGGAAAAAACAGTATTTGGAAAGTTAACATAATGGAAGTTGCCATCCTCTTAAAAGGTTTAAGGAAGAAATGGTTTTTGATCACCCTTGCTACTTAATTGCTCTAAGTTATACAAGTGACTGCTTTTCATTGTAGCCATTGAAACTGCTTTGATATTGCTGTAACCTAAACTGTGACCCTTGAAACAGGTGGGAGTAACATCCAGTCTGAGTGGCATTCCTGAGTTTAGGCCTCTGTAGGTTCCACAGGCACCTTTAAAGGAAAAAAAAAAAAAAAGGAGAGGAAAAATAAATAAGGATGGTGAAAAAAATTAAGGGAAGAGATTGATTTGGGGGAAATGTTGACATTACCCAAATGTACCTCAGTTGACCCCTTTAGATTACTGACTCATTTATGTGACTTAACCTTTGTCAGACTACATTGTTAAACTAAATAGCAAACTAATCTTTTCTTTGTAAAAGGTACGAGTGGCTGCTTTACAGAATCTGGTAAAGATAATGTCCTTGTATTATCAGTACATGGAGACGTATATGGGTCCCGCTCTTTTTGCTGTAAGTATTTCTGTTTTACGTATGGGAGCATAGCTAGTTGCAAAACTTACCATTCTTGCTGTTTTGTCACTTCTGTAATTTTTTTACTTAATATTATGAAATCAAGGAAATTCCTTGAGTCTGAGTATTATGTTTAAGCCATCGATAATGTGCCAAGAAGACTTGTACTGTCTTTGTGCTGGGAAAGAATATATTTTAAAAGTTCTTTTCCTATTTCTACCTTTCATTTCAGACCCAGCTTTCATAAATCTACATTTTTTGACACTTGAATATTTGTGGTTAGAAGTGGGGGGGGGTCTAACTTGAACCAGCACTTACTTAGGGTCTGGGATGTCTTTTTTTTTTTCCCCTCTTAAGATCACAATTGAAGCAATGAAAAGTGACATTGATGAGGTGGCCCTACAAGGGATAGAATTCTGGTCCAATGTGTGTGATGAGGAAATGGACTTGGCCATTGAGGCTTCCGAGGTGAGCCTGGGAGAGTCTGTGCGGTGAGAGAGTTGTTTCTCTGACAAAGCTCCTTTGTGGGCATTAGTCTCCTCTGGGAAAGCTTTATTCTGACCGGGCTTAGAGGGCATCTCCATTTGTAGAGATTTTGCTTTCTCTACTAGCCAGAGCCCCTCAGGAGGGAGACAGACCCGTAATGAGGCATTTCATGCTTTACCGATCACCCAGACGTGATTTATTATAAATGTTGATATTAGTACCATGAACACAAGGGGGCAGCAGGCAGTCACAGTTTAACAAGGTGACGTCCAATGCTGAATTACTTCCTTTTGGAAGTCCTAATGAAAGCATGGGATGCATAACTGACAGCTTCCTAACTCTGGTGAAGAAATTTGATAGAGACAAAGGGCCTAGTTCTGCACTTGAAATCTTTGAACTCAAGCTTTGTTTCCAGCCTTAAGCTGTCTTGCGTACTTTAAGAAACACGATTTTATTTTTGGCATCATTACGTAAATTTAGTACACCTCTTGATCGAAAGGTTAGTTAGATGGCAGCTTGTTAATACGAATTGAGCTTGTGAAAAAGAAAGGTAGTTCTTAAGGTTGCCTTGGGCTTTTAAGGTAGATTATATGTATGGCCTAAAAGAATCCCATTGAAGTAGACCAAAGAAATGAGCACCTCCAAAAGATCACAGTGGATGGTACATTTGCTCTGTGTATTTCTGTTCAAACCCCTGGGCAGCTCTCATTGTATGCCTCTAGTGTCAGCCTGTTTGCTGCTGTCCAGAATTTGCTTTTATGTTTGTCCTCAGGCAGCAGAACAAGGACGACCCCCTGAGCACACCAGCAAGTTTTATGCCAAGGGAGCACTACAGTACCTGGTTCCAATCCTCACACAGACGCTAACTAAACAGGTGAGTTACCTTGCAAATCAAGCCGGTTAAGCTGTGAGACATTGTTGAGGATTAGTTTACTGTGCAACAGTTTCCATGAAGGAACTCGGCAACTCTAGTTGGTTGCTGTTCGGTCATAGGTGACCGGAACAGCCGAACTGCATCTCTAAGATCCTCTAGGCTCTGAGTTGTTTGTGAAGGAGAGTTGAACATTTCAGCCTCGATCGTGCACAGGCTACACATACAGATTCCTGAGTGCTTTCCTTTGTCCGTAGTAATGCAAGAGACGCATGCTATTAAAGTTGCAGTAAAGAAAGGTTGGCAAAAGGGATGTGCTAATCTTGGGCCACTCGAATATCTGCTAATATTTGAATTATTTTCATGAGTTCACGGTATGTATATACATTTAAAATGCTGATGAAGGGCGCCTGGGTGGCGCTCAGTTGGTTGGGCATCTGTCTTCGGTTCAGGTCATGGGATCAAGCCCCACATAGGGCTCCCTGCTTGGCGGGGAACCTGCTTCTCCTGCCCCCCGCTTGTGCTCTCTTTCTCTCTCTCTCTGTCAAATAAATAAAAAATCTTAAAAAAAATAAAATGAAGTAAAATGCTGTTGAGGTTGGGTAAGAATTATTCTGGGGTCACCTGGGTGGCTCAGTCCATTGAGTGTCCCTACTCTTGATTTTGGCTCAGGTCATGATCTCAGGGTGGTGAGATCCTTAAGCCCCACGTCAGGCTCCATATTTGGTTTGGAGCCTGCTTGAGATTCTCCCTTTCCCTCTCCCTCTGCACCCCCCCCCCACACACTCTGTTTTTCTCTCTCTCTTTAAACAAAAAAAAATTTAGGGGCACCTGGGTGGTTCAGTTGTTAAGCGTCTGCCTTCAGCTCAGGTCATGATCCCAGGGTCCTGGGATTGAGTCCCACATCCAGCTCCTTGCTTAGTGGGGAGCCTGCTTCTCCCTCTCCCTCTGCTGCTCTCCCTGCCTGTGCTCTCCTGCTCTCTCTGTGTCAAATAACTCAATAAAATCTTTAAAAGAAAAAAAACACAAAATTAATCTGATCATTCATGATCATTAATATCAATAAGATTCAGGACTAAGTAAAAGTAGCAAGACTTCATGAAGATGTGGGTCTAATGGGTAAATATAGAAATTCTTTTTTTTTTTTTTTTTTTTTTAAGATTTTCGGGGCGCCTGGGTGGCTCAGTCAGTTAAGCATCTGCCTTCAGCTCAGGTCATGATCCCAGGGTCCTGGGGTCGAGCCCCGCATCAGGCCTCCTGCTAAGAGGCCTGCTTCTCCCTCTCCCACTCCCCCTGCTTGTATTCCTGCTCTCAATCTCTCTCTCTCTGTCAAATAAATAAAATCTTAAAAAAAAAAAAAGATTTTCTTTATTCATGAGAGACAGAGAGAGGGAGGGAGGCAGAGGGAGAAGCAGGCTTCCCGCAGAGCAGGGAGTCCGATGCGGGGCTCAATCCCAGGATCCTGGGATCATGACCTGAGCTGAAGGCAGATGCTTAACCAACTGAGCCACCCAGGCGCTCCTATAAATTCTTTTATAAGAAGTATACGTTGGTTGTCATTGTTCCCTTTTGAGTTTAGGCATCACGGTTTTCCTTGGTATGGTGTTTGGAAAGATTCTTTCTGTCCCTCCTCTCCTCTGATGCATGTGAAGTATTCCCAGAGGGCCGGCAGTGCTCTAAGGAAACATTGCTGTGACTTTGAGCATTGCAGAATTTCCCTGTACACAGGAATGTCATTTGTGTTTAGGAAAGTACATGACTCTCAATATAACAGTCTCAGAAGATAAGTAGAGATGTATTTGGTTTGAAATGGACTGGGTGTTCTCTCAAATTTTCATCTCTTTGTTCAGTTTTACAGTTACTTTTTTGTGTCTTTTGACCTTAGTGTCTTCGCTTTTATATTTTTGTTGTGCTTCTCACATTTGGGAACAAATCATTCTTTAGGTATGTAATGTTCTGAAGCTGCATAAGGTAGCTTACCTTAAATTACTGTGTGGTATGAATAGTCACAATAAGGAAGATAAATCTTGAATTCTACTTTCAGGGGAGATCTGAATGGAATCTTAATTTTGTTTGTTTAACATCTCATCGAACTATAATTAGTACCACACCAGAAGCCACTTCATGCCTTCTTCCTAGTCATTCATTGTCTCCCCTTTACTGCCAGAGATGAATTTTGATTGGTTTTGGACTTCATATAACCAGAATCATACAGCATATACTCTTGTTTTGCCTTTTGCTCTGTGTCTGTTCGAGTTTCATCCTTGTTGAGTGTAGTGGAGGGTGGCCCATCTCGTTGTATAGTACTAAGTAGGACTTCCCTCCATCTGCATCTCATTTAACAAAGGCTATGTGTGATGAATCTTTGTGGAAAAAAATTAAAAAGGTTTTATATTTTATTTACGTCTCCCAAACTTAAGTTCCAGTGACATTTGGGAGTAGTCAGAAGACCTTTTGAGTTAGTAATTCTGGGTGGGTTTTTTTTGTTTTTTTGGTTTTTTGGTTTTTTTGAGTTAAAGTGATTCTTGAACAAAAACTTAACTAGTGCTACACTCTGTGGTCAGGACGAGAATGACGATGACGATGACTGGAACCCCTGCAAAGCGGCAGGCGTGTGCCTCATGCTCCTGGCCACCTGCTGTGAAGATGACATCGTCCCACACGTCCTGCCCTTCATTAAAGAACACATCAAGAACCCTGACTGGCGGTACCGGGATGCGGCAGTAATGGCTTTTGGCTGTATCTTGGAAGGACCAGAGCCCAATCAGCTCAAACCACTAGTTATCCAGGTGAAGCTGAGGGAGTTTTGGGGTGAAAAGTGGGATATTTATTGTTTGAACTTTTTCCTTGAAAGTGTGCCCGTATTTTAAAAACAAAACTGTACATAGTCATCCAAAAAGGTTATTCTGGATTGTTGTTTGCTGTCAGTGAAGGAAGGTTAAAATGTATTTCTTGACTTTTTTTTTTAAACAAAAGTCATGACTTGGAAAAATGCAGAAAAGGCTAAAAAGAAGTCACCTTTAATCCCACTGCCCAGGGATAAACATTCTTAACTCTTAGTATTTATTTGTGTGGCGTTCTTCTGTGTGCATGTATGTAGGTGGAACAGGATGGAGTTCTTACTGGGCAGTATTCTTAGAACTTGTTTTTTCACTTCCTGCTGTATCACAAACCTTCCTATGATTTTTTAGTGATGTGATGATTCTGTCTTTAGGACAAAATAGTATCTATTGTAATGAAAAGTCTTGTGGAAATACTGTGTTTATTTTACTATTATAAGTGATACAAGGCTCCATTGTAATTCTCAGCCTTTCAGAATGTAGCCAGATGCCGTCACAGCTGCATCTAGATGCATCACCTGAGTGATTCAGTAAAAGACTGGTGGAAGCATTCATACTAGACTTTTAATAACACTCTATGCTGGGATTTGGTGAAGAGAGGACTATTTCACTTTTCACTTTAATTTTATTATACTGATGGATAGGTGACAGATGTGTCTTTTATAAAATGACAAACTATCTTGATGCTGTGGGTTAAAACCCAATCATCAGGGGGCACCTGGCTGGCTCAGTTGGGAGGGTGTGCGACTCTTGTTCTAGGGATCATGAGTTCAAGCCCCACGTTGGGTGTAGAGATTATTTAAATAAAACTTGAAAAAAATCCCAGCCATCAGTATTTTCTCTTCATCAACATGAATTTTAATCTTTGTTTTGCTCTGCTAATAACTGCTGTATTTGCAGGCTATGCCCACCCTAATAGAACTAATGAAAGACCCCAGTGTAGTTGTTCGAGATACAACTGCATGGACTGTGGGCCGAATTTGTGAACTGCTCCCTGAAGCTGCCATCAATGATGTCTACTTGACTCCCCTGCTGCAGTGTCTGATCGAGGGCCTCAGTGCTGAGCCCAGAGTGGCTTCCAATGTGTGCTGGGTAAGGCTTTCTTCCTACTGAGATCCGGAGCGGCGCTGAGCCATTCGCAAGGAGGTAGGAGGTGTGGGAGAGAAATGGGTCTCCCTCATTGGAAGGCCTTTTTTGAATAGCATCTCCTTCCTAATTTCTTCAATTAAAATGTGGGGGATGCCAATTGCATGAGCCAGTGGGAGCTGTTGACTCATGGTGACTGGTTCCCAAACCATTTAGAATAGTTATGCTAACCCAGTGGGAAAACTGTCTGGACCTGGTTTTCTCTCTCAGTTGCTTGGGGACAAGAAATTTTGATTAAGGTAGAGAGTTGCTGCTACAAAAAGTACCATTGCTGAGAAGAGGGCAAAAGAGAAGGAAGGTAGGCGGCCCAAGTGCTGAGTCAGTACAGGCTGCTGAAGGTAGTTCATTAGGGCCCTTTGGGGGTATGGGGGAGGAAGTTCAGATAGGAAGGAGTGGGGCTAAAAGCCTTTTTGTAAGTGGAAAAAGAAGTAGTGGGAGGTGTTTGTGGTAGATAAAAGTACTCTGCTGCTGAGAGAGTTTGGGGTGGGACAAACAATATAAATAAATATTTTGATTTTAAGGATGTCTGTAAAGAGATTGTCTGAGATGACCTTGACAGAAAAAGTTGAGGGTTCACTAGCATTGATTTATTCTTAGATCAATTGGAAAGGAACACCGCCCATGGTATGTTAAGGAAAAATGAGGTTATCCTGGGGTAGGGTTCTTTTCAGGACTAATATTAACTCTGTCTGGACTTAAGGCTTTCTCCAGTCTGGCTGAAGCTGCTTATGAAGCTGCAGATGTGGCTGATGATCAGGAAGAACCAGCTACCTATTGCTTATCTTCTTCTTTTGAACTCATAGTTCAGAAGCTCCTGGAGACCACAGACAGGTGACTGATACTACACAGAAATGGGTGGTGTCTTTGCATCCAACTCCTTTTGCCCTGGATGAGGGGCATCTAGCCTAATCATAGGAACATAGTAACAGGAAACATTAAAAGAATCGTATAGTAGATGATTTAAGTAAGAGAAAGGGGCACTTGGCAGCTCAGTTGTTAGAGCATGCAACTCTTGATCTTGGGGTTCTGAGTTGAAGCCCCACATTGGGCTTAGAGATTACTTCTAAATAAAAACAGAAGAAAATACATGCTATGTCTACCTTAGAATGTTCAGGTTACAAGTCAAGTCAGAAGATAGTCTCATATAAAGAGGGATTGATCTGGGGCACCTGGGTGGCTCAGTTGGTTGAGTGGTTGAGGGTCCAACTCTTGATTTCGGCTCAGGTCATGATCTTGGTTGTGGGATTGAGCCCTGCATGGGACTATGCGTTGAGTGTGGAGCCTGCTTCGATTTCTCTCCCCCCTCCACTCCCCTCTCTCTTTTAAAATTTTATTCGTTTATTTGAGAGAGAGAGAGAAAGAGGAGGGGGGAGGAGAGGGAGAAGCAGGCTCCCTGCTGAGCAAGGAGCCCAGTGCGGGGCTCGATCCCAGGACCCCAGGATCACGACCTGAGTGGAAGGCAGATGCTCAACCGACTCAGCCACCCAGGCACCCCCCGCTCCCTCTCTCTTAAAAAAAAAAAAAGAATTGATCTGGAGAGGTACCTTCATTTTGCAATATCTACAGTTAACAGGAATATTTGATTATCCTGTAAGGGAAATAAATAGTAGCTCTCATCATGAATTTAGTTGCCATGCCTGGTCATTAATCACTATTTCTGATAATAGATGAAGAACTTGGCATAAAATACAATTGTTTAATAGATGAGTTTTTGAAATTTTTTTAAGGTTTTTTTTTTTAAAGTCATCTCTACACCCAGTGTGAGGCTCGACCTCAACCCTGAGATCAGGAGTCACATGCTCTACCGACTGAGTCAGCCAGGCGCCCCTGAAATGTAGTTTCAGCGGGTTATAAGTTGGGACAACCTTTAATTATTTTGGTTTTATGTGAGTGATACTGAAAGCCGTGCTCAAAAGAAACCATGAGGAAGGAGGCTAGGCATAAACTCTTCCATGCTTAACTAGTTCCATCTCTGCTTCTCTGACCAAGAGTAGGTATAATAACCATCTCTCACAGACAAGTGAAGAAAATTGAGCTATTTTCCTCTTAGCTCTGTAGGTGACCTTGTCGGTTGTACACATGGGTCCTTCAGCATTTTAAACTAGTTTTTCCCCTATAATTTTAGCCCATTTCTGTAAGAGCCATTCTAAAGTGTAACCAGGTCTGGAGACCCATATAACGAACATAGCCATTGGCTCAGCAGTTGAAACTTTGGTTCCTGGTTGTATTGTGTTGCCAAACTCAAACCATGTTCACAACCATATCGATTTCTGGATTCCTTATTTTCCGTGGTCTACGTGGTAACAACTCTCTTCTTTCTCGGGTAAGACTTTCAGATTGCTGTTGTGTGTTCCTTACAGACCTGATGGACACCAGAACAACCTGAGGAGTTCTGCATATGAATCTCTGATGGAAATTGTGAAAAATAGTGCCAAGGATTGTTACCCCGCGGTTCAGAAAACTACTCTGGTTATCATGGAACGACTGCAGCAGGTGCTCCAGATGGAGGTGAGGCCGGGCTGGCGCGGCCGGACGGCGCCATGTTCTCTCTAGGTGGTGGTCACGTTTACGTGGAAGTGTGTTTTTCTCAGAAAGGTAGAATGCTTACACAAAAACTGTTGCCATTTAAAATTTGCATTGCTCATTTCAGTTTACTTATTCATGTATCAAAATATATATTGAGGTAAGTTTTTTGTTTATTTCTTGCATTAGCATCAGTAAAGATTATTTAATGGTCCTGGCAAACCCAGCAAAAAACAGAAGCATTGAGGGAGTGTAGAGCTCTTTTAGAAGGTGTTTATTCAGAATATGATGGTGTTCTTTTCCTTGCAGTCGCATATCCAGAGCACATCCGATAGGATCCAGTTCAATGACCTTCAGTCTTTGCTCTGCGCAACTCTTCAGGTACAATGGCGCTTTATTACTTACCAGTTCTGATGCTGATCAGAAACTCTTCTCGAAAGGCTTTCGTCTGTGGTTGATTGGGGGAGAGATTTTCGATTTTCCTTTCTTCTCTCTCCGTAAAAAGAATTTGTCTTTTGCACAGAATAGGGAAGGAAACTATTTGGTTGGTGGTAGTCCTCCCAGCTGTACAGCGATTTTGTGCTGGCAGCTTCTAGTCTTTGGTTTTTATTGGGTTGTCCAAATGTAGCCCAGTCAGATTTGGTTCCCAGCTGTGGTTCACTCGGCTAAAAATATAGCATTGAGTTTCTACCATCATCTTGTGAAACAACAGTTCCTATTGGAAGCTTTATTATAATTCAAATCATTTATTGTACCACTTGTTCAGAGTAGACTTTTTTGAGGGGAGACTGGGAAGATTAAAATCATTCCTCATTCATGACTGGACTCCTGAAATGACTGAGGTGCTATTCCTTATTTTACCAAAAATCAAGAAAACCCTAGAACTTGTCTAAGGCTTAGGTGGGTACTAGGTTTTAGTATTGAGTGATGCTAACTAGGTCATGTTCCCTGTGAACTCCGTTCTCATTCTTAGCCAAACTTAAAAAAGCCTGTCTGCTCTTTTAAAATCTTGACTGTTAAGGTCTTTCCTTAGTCATCAGACAAATACAGGAATGATCTGGTAACATTAGTTGAAACAAATTAAAGGGTAAGAGGGAGGTTTGAGGAATATTGAATTAGGAGAATTCAGGTTGGCTTTATTTTATCAGAACTATTTCTTGGGGCGCCTGGGTGGCTCATTCGTTAGGTGTCTGCCTTTGGCTCAGGTCATGATCCCAGGGTTCTGGGATTGATCCCCGCATCAGGCTCCCTGCTCAGTGGGAGGCCTGCTTCTCCCTCTCCCACTCCCCTGCTTATGTTCCCTCTCTGGCTGTCTCTTTCTCTGTCAAATAAATAAAATCTTAAAAAAAAAAAAATTAAAAAATTAAAAAAAAAAAAAACTATTTCTTGACCATCATCAGTAAATAAGATGTCATTGGAAGGATTGCTTCTGACTTTGTGTACCGTGGAAGATCATCTCGTGTTTGTTCTGAGTTGGGAAATAGAAGGGATATTAAAATGTATGTTTTGTTGCAGATGATTTACACTGTCAAAGCTTTTGAGCCCAAAAAGTGTGTTTGGACTTTCCAAAAAAAGCCACGGGGTTCAGTTGATTTTTTAAAAAGGTATATATAGTGTTCTGATCGGTGGGTTTGGAATCAACAGATCCTGAACTCTTTTTCATTTCACAGAACGTTCTCCGAAAAGTGCAACATCAAGATGCTTTGCAGATCTCTGATGTGGTCATGGCCTCCCTGTTAAGGATGTTCCAAAGCACAGCTGGGTCTGGGGGAGTGCAAGAGGATGCCCTAATGGCAGTTAGCACACTGGTGGAAGGTCAGTGAGCCAAAATTGGGCAGGGAATGTCTTTAGGATGCAAGAGTTTCAATAGCCATGGGGAATTTTTGACCACAGAAAGCATAGTCCTGTCTTCTCATTTATTGGGGCATGACTTGAGTGCAAAGTTGGATTGAGTGTAAGTGTAAATTTGTGCATAAGTGCCTTGCCACTCTCCTTGAAATGAATGGGGAGCCAGCAGCAGCTGAGATCAGCAGGTTCCTTTTTTCCCCTGAAAGTCTACTCTCTTGATGTTTGGCTCCTTCTGAGGAGCGAGGAAACAAAGGTTTCCATTTTCTTTCCTGGCACTTGGTACCTCCTAGTTTGGGTTGTAATGCTTTGGACTCTAGGTTGACACATTGTGGTGCTCAGAATAGGATGGAGGGAAACATTGAGAGTTCTAGGAATTAATTGGTTTTCTGGTTGTTATATGTCAGACTATACAAAATTGCTTTGAGGAAGCCATGTCTGCTTAAGGCTCTTTGAAGGGCCATTAAAAGTGCATTAAAGAGCACTTAAGAAACCTGGAATGCTTCTTCGGGGTTGGCCGCCTGTATGGTGTATACGCTGACCAAGTCTGCTACCTAAGGACCATTCCTGAGGACCAGACCTATTTCTAGCATCAGGAGGTTCACTTTGGCCCCTGGAGTGGCTAATTCAGAAAGAAGCCCAGTCTGCTTTCCCTGGCTAGCTTGTAAAATAAGTCCTTAACGGACTTGCCCAGGGATGGACCCTGTTTTAAAGCTGGCCACCAGAGAAGACATGTTATAATCAGATGAAGGGGTGGCCAAGAGGCAGTATCATTAGCTCATCCAATCAAAATTAACCCTTGAAAAAAGCCCATTGGTTTGTTGGTTTGTTTTAGCCAAAGTGAAATCCCACTCTGGAGATGTGGCATTATCTTCAGGGCATAAGAGTTAGGCCCTTCCAGCACTTAAGGAGTTGGCTTGTCTGAGACAACCTTATTGTTTTTGTGATAGAATCAGTAATTAACTCGCACTCCACCCAACCTGTTGATTGGAGTGAAGACATTTTGGCAGAGCTGGTGTGGTTATTTTCGCTCACTTCTGTGATATCCTGTGGTGCTAACAGTTTGTTTCTCTACAGTGTTGGGTGGTGAATTCCTAAAGTACATGGAGGCCTTTAAACCCTTCCTGGGCATTGGATTGAAAAATTATGCTGAATACCAGGTAATCTTTGCTTTTCAAAAGAATACATTTGTGTTCTCATTTATCCCTGATAACTACCTCATGGTACAAAGTCCAGGTAGTCTCTGTATTGTCTGCAGGTGTGGAACTAGAAGTAGTCGGTGAAAAAACCAGGATAGGAGATGCCCCAGCATAGCACCCTGAGAGCAGGGCTTTTTCCTTCTCTCTCTCTTTTTTTTAACCACCATGCTCTTGCCACCATTATTCCCGGTGATTATTGTCATTTCCGTCCTTTGTTAATGAAATCTTGGAGAGCATTAGCTCTTTTCCTGCCGTACGGATTGTTGTTAACGAACTAATCTCAGGGCGCCTGGGTGGCTCAGTCAGTTAAGCGTCTGAGTCTTGATCTCAGGGTTGTAAGTTCAAGCCCTGCATTGGGTTCCACACTGTGCATGCAGCCTACTTTAAAAAAACAAAACAAAACCAAACTAATCTGAGAGAGGGAGGGTGTTTTTTCTTCAGCTCTAGGCTCAAGTGATAAAGGACCAGCGGCTAAATAAAAATAACACCTTACCCTGTAGGTGGCCTCTTCTGTTTGGAAGATCATTTTCTTGATTCATTGCAGGTTTGTTTGGCAGCTGTGGGCTTAGTGGGAGATTTGTGCCGTGCTCTGCAGTCCAACATCTTACCGTTCTGTGATGAGGTGATGCAGCTCCTGCTGGAGAACCTGGGGGTGAGTGTCTGCACACACGGTCTAATTTACGAGTATTTGAAGAAATTTGGAAAGATGCTTAAAATTAAGTGAGAGGGAGCTGTCAGTTGCCAGAATGTTGGCTGTAGGCTCATGAAGAAGGGAATTGTTCATTTTCACAAGATGATTCTATAAAGTAAGGTTGTAAAGTTAATTAAAGGAACGCGTGCTCAATACATGAAACGGGGGGCAGGGAGGCCAGTAAAGTGCATGTGTCCAGAGAGACTTAATTTTTGTGTATGCCCTTAAGGTCTGTACAAAGCGTATTAGTAACTGTTTATTATAAATAATGTTTCTTTAACGTTTGGACAGAATATTTTGGCTTTTATTAATTTGCTCTTCTCTCTCTTTTTTTTTTTTTCCCCTGGTCAGAATGAAAATGTCCACAGGTCTGTGAAGCCACAGATTCTGTCAGTGTTTGGTGATATTGCTCTTGCTATCGGTGGAGAGTTTAAAAAATATCTCGAGGTTGTCTTGAATACTCTTCAGCAGGCCTCCCAAGCCCAGGTGGACAAGGTAAGCTTCAAGCTGTCTTTTAAGTCCAGCCCTGATTGGATGAGTGGGACTTCTGACAGTCATACAGCTAAAGGCTCTTGGTATGATGGAGATTCTGTTTGTCTCTTACAGTCAGACTATGACATGGTGGATTATCTGAATGAGCTAAGAGAAGGCTGCTTGGAGGCCTATACCGGAATTGTCCAGGGATTGAAGGGAGACCAGGAGAATGTGCACCGTTGAGTATAAAACCCAATGGACTTAGTCCAGAGTTCATGTAGCCAAATGGGCTGTGTCTTCGGTTCTGTAGCTTGTGAACTAGCACCTATTGCTTAAAGGAAGCGGAGAAGGAACAGTACCCTCATGAAGAGAGAGTAGCTTTGGAAGAAGATACAGGCTTTCCTATTTCGCTCCCCCCCGCCCCCCGCTTTGTCTCACCTTTCTTGAGCATCGGAAGGGATGGGATCCAGCAAGGCTGTTGGTGCTGGTCATGATCTGCACCAACCCTGAGTGGCAGTTGTTGAGCACACACCACACATAACACACCTCCAGTGCAGTTGAATTAAAGGATTGGGAAATCATTTTCTCTTTCACCTGATGTTTCTATTATTGATTGGGGAAATATTTGTCTTTTACCTCTTTTGATATCATGGGCTTAGAGGGAGGGTTCCATTTGTTCCTTCTTTATGATTTCTGCTTGTAATAAGAGGAATGAATATCTGCCTCTTCTGTTGGTGTAAAGAATGACCTCTTAATTTGAGGAAGAATAGTTCAGTATAACTATAAGCAACTAATTCTCCAGCCTGAAACACCTGCCTGATGGGGGGGGGTGGGTAGTGTATTTGGAAATTTTGAAATGGGTGGTCCTGCCAAAGGTGGGACAGCTTCATCAGACCTTCTCTTTCTATTATAGCGGATGTCATGCTGGTACAACCCAGAGTAGAATTTATTCTGTCTTTCATTGACCACATTGCTGGAGATGAGGATCATACAGACGGAGTAGTAGCTTGTGCTGCTGGACTGATAGGGTAGGTTAAATCCTATTTCCAACAGCTGAATAGAATTTCTCTTGGAAAATGAGAAGCCCTGTGGTAAAGAACTTTGAGGGTAGCCTGGATGGTAATTACCCCCTTCTTTGATACAGATATTTCTTTAATAGAACCCAAGATGTCCTGTTTAGAGTTCTCAGAGATGATCATTCATTGCAGACCTTAGCTCTAGTCTCATTCCAGACCCTCCAAATTTCTAATTTCTCTTCGCTGAACTCTGTGGAGTTCTCAGAGGTATAGATAGCCACAGGTCTGTGTCTCTCCTATATTGAGGTTGGTCAACAGATTGCCTATGTTTAGGCTCTACGGAAAGTTTGAGGCATCATTAGAAGAAAGAACCATGAATTAGTTGTGGAACTCAGAGTAAGTCATCCTGACTCTTTAGACCTCAGTTTTTGCATCTGTTTAGGGAAGGTGCTGAACTTATCCCTAAAATTTCTTCCAGCTTTAAAAAGTAGGTGAATTCTAAGAGACCCAAACTAGCTTAGCATTGGCTGAAAACAGGATAGTGGGATGAGGCTGGGAGCTCATTCTCAGGTGTGTTTATTTTGCACAGGGACTTGTGTACAGCATTTGGGAAGGATGTACTGAAATTAGTAGAAGCTAGGCCAATGATCCATGAACTGTTAACAGAAGGACGGAGATCGAAGACTAACAAAGCAAAAACCCTTGCTACATGGGCAACAAAAGAACTGAGGAAACTGAAGAACCAAGCTTGGTAAGAGCTTGTCTCCACTGCCCTTTCTTTCTTTCTCAGGGAGGAGGCACAGTTTCTTCAGACTGTTCTAACAAGGGCTGCCTTTCTCTTGGTATTTTGTTTTGTACCCTTTCCCATATAAGCCTGAGGAACAAAGGCTTGTACTAGTGGAAGGGTCGGGCATCCTCAATCTTTCCTTGAGCGAAATGTTTGATTACTCATGGTGATGAAGAACAGAACTTACGGAACTAGAATTTAGTGAAGTCCCCAAATGATTTTTGGGCCCTAATAAAGTTACCGGTAATGGCATTTTGCCAGAATTCTCTTTTCTACTTTCTATTCCCTTCCTCCTGCTCTTTACTTTTTTTTTACTGCAGTGCTTTTAGACATTGTGTGGCTCTGCAGAAGATAGCCACAGTCAAGGGTTGTCTGACCCCTGCTTTCAAATGTAGTTTTAATTTATTTTCCTCTCACATGCTCATCATCTTACTCCAAAGAGCTCAGTAAAACTGGCTATTTTGAGATTTATCTTACTGTCCCTGCCACCCTCTAGTGTAGGTGCAAATGAGAAAAGGCAGTTGGCGCATAGGAAAACAAGAAAAATAATCCTCGAAAAGTTAACAGATTCATTTCGGGTTTATGAGCACTTAATTGTGGGAATCAGAGGCATTGGCTCTCCTGGCTATCTGTGATCTCAAAGTTGACCTGTTTTCCATCTGTGTTTTTAGATCTGTTACCATTGGGATGATAACCTGAGACCCCCACTGGAAATCTCCAATCTTTTGAAAAACCCGGAAGTGAGGAGTGTGCACGGATGCTGAATGTTTGGGAATGAGAGGATGAGTGAGTGAGGCTTGAAAACACACCACACTGAACATCCTGCCGCAGCCACTGGCCGCCGACAGCAGCGCTGTTAGTGAGCTAAGTAAGCACTGGCTTCGTAGAAAACCGTAACGTCGGCCATCTCGGAAAAGAGCAAAACGATGGATTTACTTGCTTAGAAAAAAAAAAAAGAAAGTTATCTCTTCCCAGGAGAGGCTAGAACTAGCTTTTCTGTCTTTCGGCCGGTGCCAAGTGGAGTGACTGGTTTGGGAGAGGAGGAGGGACTGGGTTCAGCTGTGGTGCTTTGTTGTAAAAGGCAGCCTGGCCTTTGCTACTGATAAGGAAGATGGAGCCTGGGTCTCAAGCCCCCCTTTGGTGTACCTTTGCCGCACGGTACTGTTTGCGTGCCGGCTAAAAGGAGGGTGAGGGATTCTTTACAGTCTGAGAATGAGTGTGTGTGAGTGAGGCGGTATCCACATTCTCAACTTCAAGTCATTGCAGTTTCTTTTTCCCAGAAAAAAAGGGGTTAGATGTTGCATTTCATAAAACTAACCAAAGTTTTGTCTACTGATGCAGCACAAGAGATGTGTAAAAAAAAAAAAAAAAAGAAAAGAAAAAAGGAAAGACGCTCTTTAGGTTTTGTTTTTTGTTTTGTTTTCTTTTTTTGTTTTGTTTTTAATTATCTTC